TAGCCAGGATGGTCTCGATCTCCTGACCTCGTGATCCGCCCGTCTCGGCCTCCCAAAGTGCTAGGATTACAGGCGTGAGCCACTGCGCCAGTGCATTATTTTCTTTCTTTCTTTTTTCTTTTTTTTTTGGGACAGATTCTCGCTCTTGTTGCCCAGGCTGGAGTGCAATGGCACGATCTCGGGTCACCGCAACTTCCGCCTCCTGGGTTCAAGCAATTCTCCTGCCTCAGCCTCCAAAGTAGCTGGGATTACAGACATGCGCCACCACGCCTGGCTAATTGTGTATTTTTAGTAGAGACAGGATTTCTCCATGTTGGTCAGGCTGGTCTCGAACTCCCGACCTCAGGTGATCCATTCACCTCAGCCTCCCAAAGTGCTGGAATTACAGGTGTGAGCCACCGCACCCTGCCAGTATGCATTATTTTCATTTCATGCAAGGACATTGTAGTGCGTTATCTGGAATGCAAATTTTAAAATCTGGTTAAGGCATCCTTATGGTATAGCAATGATGTAAAATTTAGTATCCATAAAAATCACTGGGGGATCTTTTTAAAATTAGGTTCTGGTAGAACTCCAGGATGTACCCCACAGTGAATCAGTCTCTGAATGGGCAGATTTTGATACAGATGGTCTAAGGATCAAAACTGTTGTTACCGAATGTAGCCATAAATAATAAGACCGCTGTGTGGTTTTAAGTTATTCAAGCTAAAATTACATTTTTCTGTGTGTACACAAAGTGAGTATTTAGAATAGCCTAATGGAATGAGTGACTATAAGCATGATTCATTTTTACATGTGTAAATTTTTTAGCATTCTTAGTACTGTGATGTAGAGTGATTTAACTTGAAATTTATACTTAATAGGGTCATTAATTTGCCTACCAGAGAATTCTTCTGAGTCTGTAGACTCAGACTACAGATTTTCCAACTTTACAGTGGTGTGAAAGCAGTAGCACTCAGTAAAAACTGTACTTCTAGTATCCATATAACTGTTTTGTTTTTCACTCTCAGTACAGTAAAGTACAGGAGATATTCATCACTTTGTTGTAGAATGGGCTTTGTGTTAGATGATTTTGCTCAACTGTAGGCTGATGTGTTTGGAGCACTTTTTTTTTTTTTTTTTTTTTTTTT